GGGGGCAAGACTCCCTGCGATGGCACCGCCGGCACCCGCTGCCCAGCCCCAAAAACGCAGCCCAGAGCCAGGGCCCAAGGTAACAGACTGCAGCAATATTTATTCCTGTACAAACCATTACAAAATGTGGGTGCCCCTTGGCTTCCTCCGGCACCGAGTCCCCCAAAGCCCCAGCCGCAATGGGGACGGGCCACAGCCCGAGGGAAACTGAGGCACTGAGCCCTGCCGGGGCTCAGCACCCAAACACACCATATTTAGCAATTTTCCCCAAACCCACTTCTCCGCTGCTGAGAAATAACAAAATCCACCCCCCAGCCGCAGGATGCTGAGGAGCACTGCCAACCCCCCCGCTACGTGCCCGCTTCTAAATAGTTTATAAGCGGTTAATAAATGATGAGGACCCAGTCACAGGCTGCTGCTGCTGGCCCCTTCGTTACCACTAACGAGCAGCCCCCACTTGGTCCTTTGGCTGGGGAACCCAAATACAAACCCCAGGACCAGAAGCAGGGAGGAAAAAACCAAAAGCCCCCCAAAATCCCATCACTCGGTTAGAAAAGGTTCTGGCAGTGTGGGTGTGGGGCACAGCAGTGCTGGGAGGGGCCGGGTGTTTTTGGGGTGCCGGGGAACTGAGGGTGGTAGTGTCACCCCCACGGGGTCCCACAAAACACTGCAGGGTTCTGCGGAGGGAAGGATGCTTGTGGACCGGGATCGGGGTGCTGGGGATGGCAGAGGGGAGCTGAGCCCCAAGAGGGGTCCCCCCACCCAGGAGGCTGGGAGAAACAGTCTCTGCAGTAGCCCCCAAAGTGATGCAACCCCAAACTGAGCTGAGGGGACCCAGCCCCCTTCCCCCATGTGCTTGCAGGGGCTGCAACGCCCCTGGACCAGGATCGGGAAAGATCTCACCCCCACGCCTCCCGCTCATGGAGGGCGGGGGGGACAACACCCCAAACCCTGCACTCACCACCTGGCCCCCCCAAAAAAGAGCTCAAACCCCAACACATCCCAGGTGCGAGGAGCCACCGTGCACAACGGCGGTGGTCCCGTGGGAGGCACTCTGATGCCTGGCTCCCACTGCTCCCCCATCCCAGGGGGATGCAGGGGAACCCCCATCCATCCCAGCTCCAGGGGTCTGCCCTGCTTGGGGTGGGGGGCAGCCCCTAGGGCCAGGTGGGGTGGGAGAAGGTGATGTTGTAGAGGCCGGCCCAGCTGGCGAAGACCCGCTTCTCGGTGATGAAGCGATGGTGGTTGCCCTTGCGGCTCCGCTCGTTGTGGATGTAGGTTGTGCACTCGTCGGGGCCCTTCGGCTCGTAGTAGTGGTAGGGCAGGCGGCGGGGCGGGGGCCGGCGGCTGCAGGGATGGGGGGGGAAGCGTGGGGTGAGCCCCACGGCAAGGCCAGTGGGCCAGGGCCGGGGCTCAGGGGTCTTCTTACCCGCAGTAGTTGGGTGGCACCATGCCGTAGACGTGGACAGCATCACACAGCTCCACCGCGATCACCATGGTGAACCAGCCGGTGCTGAGCCACGAGCGTGACTTCTCCCTGGGGAGGAGAAAGGGGGGTGGGGGGGCCAGATGGGGCCGAAGTGACATGGATGACAGACCCCCCCCCCAGGGTCCCCAACCTCTTCAAGCACCCCCAGCCCAGTGCTGCAGTGCATCCCATGGAGCAGCCCCAAGAGCCAGCTCTGCCCTGGGGACCTGGAAAAAGGGGGGGACACAGTGCAGGAGGTGGCTCTGAGGTACCTGTCCTTCCCCGTCTCCCCCCGAAACAGGTCATCAAACTGCTTCATGCGGCTGGGGGAGACAACGTAGGCCGTCATGTTGGGGAAGGAGGCGCTGACGCGCTGGATGATTTTCAGGAGGCCCTTCTGCATCTTGGCAGGCGGCCCCCAGAAGATGAAAATGGTCTCCGGGGTCTTGTTGACGAACTCCTGGGGCCGCTTGAGGACGCGGTAGAGGCTGGAGTGGGCCACCACGCGGAAGCTGGTCTTATTGCCCACATCGACCTCGTAGCCGGTGGTGGGAGCGTCGTTCATGCGGATGGTGCACTCGGCCCCGTCGATGGCCGTGCCCAGGTGGGTGCCCAGAAGGTGGCTGGAGCTGGTGACGATGACACACTGGTGGCAGCGGGCAGTCAGGGTCTGGGGACCACAAGTGCCATGAGCAGGTGACTTTTGGTGTCACCGCAACCCAGCGGGGAGGGATGGAGCTGGGACAGGGGACAAGGGACTGCCATCCCTCGCGGAGCCGCTGTCCCACCGAAAGGGATGATTTGGCCAGACGTTGGCAGAGGGCTGGATCCTGCGCCCACCGCTGAGGCCGGACCCTGCCATCCAGCTCGTACCTTGTTCCCGCAGACGGGCAGGTACCCGCTTTTCACCCCCCACTTCTTGAGGTCGGGGGGCCGGCGGGCTCTGCCCCGCAGGCGGCTGTAGGGGAAGACCTCGCTCCCGCTGCCGGAGCTGTAGATGATCAGCAACATGATCAGGGCAAAGAGGACCCCCAGGGCGGCGGCGCGCTGGCTCTGCGGGTGGGGGGAGAGCGTCAGCCGCTGCCCCCACCCTGCGGGCGTCAGCATCCTGCCCCGCTCCCGGCAGCATCTCCAGCGGGATGCCCTGTGTCCCCAGGGAGATGCCTGCTGTCCCCTGGGCGATGCCCCGGCACTCACCGTGCTGCCACTCATGTCTTTGTGCCAGCCTCAGCGCACAGCAATCGCCGGCGTCCCGCGAGCACCTGCAAGGCACGTGGTCACCACCAGCGCTGTCCCCTTGCCACCGCGCTTGGGCTCCTGTCCCCAGACTGCCGGGACGGTGGGGATACGGGATGAGCCGCCGGGCAGCCCGGCTTGGCTGTGCCGGAGCAGAGCACCATGGGGCAGGTGCCCAGCTGGACCCCCGGCTCCCCCTTTCAAGGGGAGGACAAACCGCCGGCACTGGTGTGGGGAAGGGAAATGCCATGGGCAGAGGCCGGGAGGGCTCTGCGGTGCGGAGGAACCGAACCCGGCCACAGCTCATGCCGGGGAGATCCCCACGGCAGGTTGAGCTCCCGGGAGGGATTATCCTGCCCCAGCGGGGCCAAAGCCACTCAAACCCGCAGGGTCAGGGAGGGTAAACCTGCCGCTCGTGCGGTGAAATCCCATTAAAACAACCACCGTTGAGGCTCGGATCGTGGAGGGGGGGAGGGAGGAGGGAACTGAGACCTGCCCAACTCAGTTCATACATGGGCTTAAATCCAGCCGGAGCTGGCAGGGACCTCTCCAGCCCCAGAGCCCAAGGCATGTGGGGTGCACCCTGGGTGCTCGCCCCTGGGGGAACCTGCTCTAACCTCCACTCACCTGGGCTCTCAAAAATGGACTGACTCAATTTATTTTTCAAAGTCCTCATTAGTGAGTCACGGCCGCTCCTGGAGTACTCAGAGCAATTAGAAATAAAAAATAAAAAAAAAAATTGAAGCCTCTTTACTAATAGCCCTGAGGGGAGCAGGGATGGAAAATTATGCAGCAGCCTGGGTTCAACTCTCGGGGGGACCGGGGACCCCAAAGTGCTCTCAGGGCCGGCGTCGACACCTGGGAAGGTGCCCACCCGCCCGGGGAGCCCAGGCAATGGCCTGGCGTGTTGGTGCAAAGGGGTCTCGCCGTGCACAGGCTGGGGAGCTGCACCGGGACCCCAGCGGGGAGCAGAGCCGGGACTCCACTCCTGCTCAGGCCACGGGTGACCCCACAGCAGGGACCCCGCGGGCCTTACCTGGGCAGGGGGCTCTCATCTGCAGCGGGCTGGGAGCGGCGCGGGGGGATCCGTCCTCTCCTCCTTCGCCCCGTGGGCTTCGGGGGGCTGCCAGGCCCCTCCGGCGACCACGGCCATGGCGACTCCCCGGGGGTCACATCGCTGCTCTGCCGGGGGAAGGGCTCATCCAGACCCGCTCCCCACCGCCCCGCACCCCCATGTACCGGTGCTCCGCCAGCCCCGGATGCAAACCCTCCTGCATCCCGGGAAGTGAAAAGCCTCCCCCGGCCCCCCGGCGTGCAAACCTTCCTCCGCTCCTACGAGCAAACCCCCCCCCCCACCCCCGGGCGTGCAGCCCCCCCCCCCCCTCCCGGGCGTGCAGCCCCCACCCACCCTGGGCTGCAGCCCCGCATCCCTGGAAGCGCCAGCCCTCCCCGGTAGCCCCGCTTTGCAGAAACCGGGCAGGCCGGAGCCCGGCCGCATCCAGGCGGGGAGGAACCGGTCCCTTCCCCGCGCACCACCACGGTGCGCGCCTCCCCCCCTGCCCCCCCCAATCCACCGTGCACCGGAGCCGCGGGGCGGGGACCGCTCCTCCGGCCGGCCACGGAACCGTTCCGTCCCCCGCACCGGCTAAACGGGCCCGGAGGGAAAGCACCGGGTCCACCGGCCGCTCCGCAGTGCGCCGCGATGCCG